GCCCAAGAGCGCCAAAACGGCCCAAGAGGTCCTTCGAATGTCCCAAAGTGATCCCACAACGGGGGCACAAGAGCGGGAGCACGACCCGACATTCCAAGCCCTCCAACCCAAGAGGAATAGGCCGCTTTCAGCTTCGACCCGCTTCGGCTCCGGCCCTTTTCGACTGCATCGGTGTGCTTGGGCGTCGGCCCGTTTCGGCCAGGCTCGTTTCGGCTTCTGCCCGTTTCGGCTCTGGCCCGGTTCGGCTCCATCGGTTTGTTCCGGCTTCCACTCCTTTCGGCCTGGCCCGTTTCGGCTTCGCCCTGTTTCGTCCCAACCCTTTTCGGCCCTGTCCCGGTTCGTCCTGGCACGTTTCGGCTCCGGCCCGTTTCGGCTCTGGCCCGAAACGCTGGCATTTTTCGGCTCTCGTCGTTTTTGGCATCGGCCAATTTCGGCTTCGATCGGTTTCGGTTGCGGTCCCTTTCGGCTCTGGGCTGCTTCGTTTCAGCTCTGGCCCGGTTTCGTCCCGGCTCGTTTCGTCTCTGGCCCGTTCGGCTTCAGCCGACTTCGGCTCCGGCCTGCTTAGGACGTAGCGAAAGTTGGCTCCCGTCGGTTTCGCTGCTGGCCAGCTGTAGTTGTTTGGCGGAGAGCGCGGGGGGGAGGTAGGAAGTGGCGGGCCTTCTCAGCATGCTCAGAATTCCCCCGGCCTTCTGAGAAGTTTTCTCAACACTTCTCAGAAGGCTGGAGGGCGTCTGAGAAGTCTCCCCGCCTTCTGAGCGGGCCTTCTCCTTCTGGCTTCCCCCCCCTGCTCGCCGCCGAGCTTTGGGGCCAGTTTCGTGCCTGCCAGGCTTTGACTCCGGCTGGTCTCGGCTCTGCCTCACTAGCCTACTTGCCTGCGATATCTGTCTCAGGCTTCGCCCGCTTGGCGGTCCCTGGCCCTGCCCCTCGAGGCTGGCCCGAAACTTCGGCCGGCAAGCCTGTGGACCCAGACGTGTGACTTCCTGAACTTTTCCATCTGCGGCCCCCAGAAGTCGGCCACACCCAGGGGTGACACTAGGTAATAGTGGCCTTCGGTGCGCGGCTTCTGGGGGGCCGCGGGGTGACCAAACACAGGCGATCAAGACGCTACTGTCGCATCGTTTTCAGCGATCGGGGCCCCAATGTGCCCACACCACAGGTCAATCTTGCGAAGGGCAACTCTGACGCCGAGTCGGATAAAACCCGACCCTTTCCCCGAGGCCGGCTTTTCATCCTGAGTCGTTTTTGACGGTCCCACGGCCTGGCGGGGGCCCCTGTAGGCCGAAAACTTACAGAAACCTGCCGTCCTGACTTCTGTCACGACGCGAGCACGTCTGGGGACGCACCCTCCCGCAGCCGGCCTCCACGCGCTGCCCCATCTCAGTCCGCAGCTCGTCGCCGAGCGCGCGGATGCGGGCGCCCATCTTCGCGACGAGCTCCGTGGCCTGCGGACGGGCCCTCGCTGTCGGTCTCGGCCCGCTGGGGACGATCGCAGCGTGTAGGTATAATTCGCCTCCCCTGGAATGTCCGCCACGGCGCTTGCAGCGGTATGTGTGCGTGTGTGTGTGTGTGTGTGTGTGTGTGTTAGTGTGCGTGTGTGTGTGTGTGTGTTAGTGTGCGTGTGTTAGTGTGTTGGTGCGTTAGTGTGTTAGTGTGTTGGTGCGCTAGCGTGTTAGTGCGTTAGTGTGTTGGTGTGTTTGTGTGTGCGTGTGTGTGTTAGTGCGTGTGTGTGTTAGTGTGTGTGCGTGTGTGTGTTAGTGTGTGTTAGTGTGTGTTAGTGTGTGTTAGTGTGTGTGTGTTAGTGTGTGTTAGTGTGTGTTAGTGTGTGTGTGTGTGTGCGTGTGTGTGTGCGTGTGTGTGTGCGTGTGTGTGTGTGTGTGTCGGGCCCTCTCGCCACTTGCGGATCACTAGTTGGGAGAGCCCATTACGCGTGTATGTTTATGACCACATCCCTGCGTCATTGGCCTTCGAGGCAAAACGTGTGCCCAAATATGTCGGAAGAGGGACGTTCACTGGACCCCCTTTCCCCCGGCTGGGCGCCCGCCCGAGCGCGGTGGCAGAATCGCCCGCCCGAGCGCCACTGGATAAGACGAAACCAGGACGAGGATAACATCGGGTGAGGATAAATCAGGAACCTCTGAGAGCCGGCGTCTCTGGAAAATGTCTCGGGCGCTGCGGCCTTCTCAGAGCGTCCCATTTTCATAGGTGTGTTGAAGTCGCGACTTTCAGTGTCTGGAGGATGTCTCGGGCGAAACGCCTGTTCATGTAAAAGACGATGTTGCGATTAACTATTTTTTGGGGAGGATGTATCAAGCGAAATTCGCCCTTGGGGTCGTCTCGAGGGCGCTGATTTTCTTCTCTGGTGCACTTCGGCACCCGGCACCAAATGCGCACGCCCTCCGCTCTCCAAAACGACCCGCGCCCTACCCGCTCTCACAATGCGTCAGGAGATCGGCCGGCCCGAGCTGGCGATAGCTAGGCCGAGCGTGAAACCGCGGCATATGAGCAAGGACATGCCTGTATATTTTCCTGCGGCAATAACAGCCCACAAGGGAGGACGGGTTTGGTTGCGTCACGACTTGAAAAGACGTCGTCCGAGAATACCGTCTGACAGTGCGTCAGCCTCACGACGGCTGGCCCAGCAATTGGCTGAGCTTAGAGGCCGCGGGAGCCCACGCCTCCGGCGACACCCAGTAATGGGTGCAGTCGTTCCCGCGGTGCCTCGTGCCGCTTGCGCCCCGTCGCGGTGACGCCCGCCGAGGTCGCGCCTCGGCCCGCGAAGCCTCCCGGGGTCTTTCGCTGGCCGCTGGGCTGGGCGCGGTCGCCCTCCGCGGCCTGTGGAGCCCCCCGCAGCCGTTAGGCTTGCACCTCCGACGCAGAAGCCGTGGATCCTCAGGCCACGGGCTCCGCTACCATGCGCGGCACCTCCAAGAGGGCTGCAGTACAGCGCCCTCCCAACACCCCAGAACTATGTTCATAGCTCTGGCAAGGACATTTCCTTATATTAGATGGCCATGCGGCTGTACACGCAAAACAAAAAAAACACGGGGCTGTGGCGCAGATTGCTTCCAACATCAAACTATATCCTGACGCACCAGCCCGACATTCAAGTGCCCTTGGGATCAAGACCTCCATCAACTACGCGGATGAAGGTCAGGTCGTGTTCGAAACAGGACTCCCGCATGCGACGCATTGCGTTTGATGATCCTAGATCTCAGAGCTTATACTTCCCAGCAGGTGCACCGACGGAGAGATGCTCCCTTTCAAAGTCAACATCTGGCCTGAGACTTCCCCACATCTTCAGCTTCAATACCCAAAACGGGTTTGCACTGAAGGCCTCTGATAGATCGAAAGGATTGGATACGACTGAGGCACTTGGCTGCGGCACATTCTAGTCGCCGCCTGGCTTCCTATGGATGACGTCTGGCGGTCGCCGCCTGGATTCCTAGGCCGTCCGAACTCCGAAGCAGCCCCGCTATCCATTCACAGGGCTTCCGCACTTTTCAAGTCGCCCCTTGGACTCCTATGACTCGGGGGTGGACAGAACCCCGTTTAGGAAAACGTGGTTTAGTGAAAACGACCTCGGGCCAAAACCTGGCCCCCCGAATGACTTCCGAATTTCGCGATCGCAGTTGGGAATTCTACAGCTTCCACACAGCCTGGTCGCCCCTGAAGTTCCTACGGTCTCCGCGCTTCAATGGCTCGCCCCGTGGACTCCTGTGGCGTCGCTCCGTGTCCTCCCTGGAAACAGATACCCTCGACCAGGATAGTAAGGATGCGCGGTAAAGATGCAAGAGCCTCGGAACGCCATGTTGACGTTTTCCGTGCGGAGCGCAGCAGAATGCAGAAGGATGCCGAATACCGAAGGGTCAAGGATGCAGGGGTAGCCTTCGAAAGTTGCCCCATCCTTACTATCATGGTTGACTGTATGTGAAACCGATTGTGAAACGGATCTGACTCTCGCCGTTCCATTCCTGCCATTTCAAGCGACAGGGTCATAGTGCTGCCATGTTCTTTTCAGACCTTCCCCAAACCAAGGCTAATGGATGGGGGCATGGGAGTATCACCGCTTCGGCCGCCCACGGTTCTGTGACAGACCTGAGCCCCTCAACGCCCCAGCAAGCAACCGCCGTACGTCAACCATACTACTACAACCAATGTCCCGCGCCAACTATTAGTTCACTCCCGCTACGACTGCTACTACTACGAATTTGGCTGCTGGTAGTGATACGGTTGATCACCAGGCTCGGCCCAAATTGTGCTCATTCCGGCTTCGCTGCAAAACGGAATCAAAACAACACCAATTCATGACACCGGTAAAACCAAAATGTGGGTCGAGCCCTGGATGATCGCACTGCCTTGTCACCGATACATATCACAGTTGCCAGGGAAACGCAAATGCGACCAGTGCCACTACCATTACGAAACCTAGCTGCAAACTTACAACGACTGCTAGTGCTCATGACGCTGCTACTGCTCATGACTAGGACTACTGCGATTGAGACTGATACTTAACTATACAACTACTGAAGCTACTGCAAAGACTTCTACTACCGATGCTACCGCTACACTGATCCCCCTCTGTGCCACCCCCATCCTGTCACTGCCACTGCGACAACCACTGTGGCTGCCACTGCCACTGCTGCTGCTGCTGCTGCTGCTGCTGCTGCTGCTGCTGCGCCTGCCACTGCTTTTTCAGCCCCCCCGCCCCGAGCAGCCCCGCTTGGCATGGGAAAAAGGGTTCTGAGGGAAACGGGGCCTTCCTCTAGGACCGATTGTTTTTCTGACGGTCCTGGGGACCGTGGAGAGCCCCGCGAGCCCGAAAGCGGCAACAAAAACTCAAAGCCCGTTTTCCTCAGGACCCGTTTTCCCCAGATGGCGAGCACCGGAGGCCGACGCAGCGCCCGGGCGCGACGCTCGGGAGGGCTGGCGCGCGGCCGGGCGGCAGGCGGGCGGGCGGTCCGGCGCGCGGCCCCGCCGCTGGCAGGGCCGCGCGCCGAGAGCTACAGCCAGCCGCGGGGGTCCAGCCGCCGCAGCTCGATGCGGGCGTAGCCCCGCCCTGCCGGCCCCGGGCGGCCCCGCCGCGGCCCCAGGCAGCGGCGCGCACACGGCGGCGCGCCCTCGGCGGCCACCGGCCCTCGGCGTCGTCGATCGAGGCTCCTCCTACTCCTCCTCATCCTCCTCCTCCTCCTCCTCCTTCCCCTCCTGCGCCCACTCCTCCACCTCCCCCTCCCCATCTTCCTTTTCCCTCCTCATTCTTCCTCCTCCTCTTTCCTCTTCCTCCTCCTCCTCCACCTCGTCCTCCTCCCCCTCCTCCTCCTCCTCCTCCTCCTCCTCCTCCTCCTCCTCCTCCTCCTCCTCCTCCTCCTCCCCTCCCCGTCTTCCTCCATTTCCTCTTCCTCCTCCGCATCCTCCACCTCCTCCCCCTCCCCCTCCAGGATCGAGAAGTCGAGGGTGGTCGAGGTTCGTCGAGGCTCGAGCATGCGGAGGACCGAGGGCTGCTCTGGAACGGCAAGGGGGTGGGGGCCTCTCGGAGGCCTCTCGAGACCTCTCGTTCAGGGGCCTCTCGAGACCTCTCGAGACCTCTCTTTCAGGCGGCGGCCAGAGGCCTCTGAGGAGGCTCCTCGGCAGGGCAGGGGGGCTCTGGGCGTCGCTCACATGACGTGATCGCGTCGTAATGAAATCATGACGGGAGGCCTTGAGCCATTCTCCGGGGTCCTGGGGCCCCTCGCTGGGCCCCTGGACCGTCAAAGATCGACTCAGGATGAAGAACCGGTCCCGGGGAAAGAGCCCGGACTTCCGGGGACCGCGTCTTGAGAAGAGCGGGGCGTCGCACGTCTACTGGGCAAGGGAGAAGGAAGGGTGCACGCCTCGGGCCCTGAGGGCCCCCTCTGGGGTCCCCAGAGAGGGCCCCCCTCCGGGGCCTCAGAGGGCCCCTTCTTCTTGCAGCCCTCGCTGCCCCCCCCATCGGTCGACCCTCCAGCACGCGCGGCGCCCAAGGGCGGAGGGCCTCTCCGGCGGCCAGGGGCCTCCGAGGGGGCTCCTCGGCAAGGGAAGGGGGGCTTCCAGAAAGCCGCGCCGGCCTCTTGGAATGGGGCCCAGGGACGCACATATAAGTATACACGCGCAAACACATACACACGCATCCCAGGATTCCACGTTGTTTCCCATGCTTTCCTGGGAATCGACGACTGTCAATGTAGGTGTGGTCTTTTCCCCTCGTGATTCCTCGACTTCATTCAAGAATCGTTCTGTAATGCAAACTCAGCTGCGGACTCATGGGGGATGTTCTCGCCAGAGTCTCTGTCTCCCGTTCCGCAGCCTATTTTGGAAGGCCAACATGTATCGATGCCGCTACTCCACGGACCTCTCCCGGGGTGCGTCCTGACTAAGATTTCGAGGCCGATCCAGCCGTTGCGACGAGGGTTTCCCAGAATGCCCGGAAAGGCGAAAACGAGGCAAGCGTAGCAGTGTCGGAACCTCTTCCTCCTCTGACTCTCTTGGGCTTTTGGGTTCGGCTCGGGTCCGCCAAGGACGATCGCACTGCTGAGCTGCACCCATAGCGTCTGAGGAACGTCCTACAGTAGGAGCTCGACCACAAGAAACCTTCCACTAGAAACCCATCCCGGAGACCCCAGGGTTCCATTGATTTTTGGTGTGGGAACGTCACGCTCTCCATGGCAAGACCATCGAAACATAGGAAACCCGGCGCACCCTGGAGGCAAACAGGGTGTTTCTTGGCATGGGCTTCCACTGTACTCAACGAGGGCTTCCAGAAAGCATCCCGTGCCTTCTCCGAGGCCCGACGCCCCGCTGCACCCTCCCCCACCCCACCCTTGCGCGTCCTGCTGCTCGGTCCAGCCTTCCAGGCCTTCCCTCCTTTCTTCTCCTCCCCTCTCCATCCTTCTTGCCTCCTCCTCCTCGCTCCCCCTCCTGCTCCTGCTCCCGTCCTTCTTGCTCCTCCTCCCCCTCCTCCTCCTGTTCTGTTCGGACTCCCGACGAGGTCAACCGCCGCAGTGGAGGAGCCTGCGAAAGAGGAGCGCGCTGCTGGAAGGAGCCTGAAGGGAACGAGGGGCGGGGGGATGAAGAGCGCAGTTGAACGAGGGCGCGTGCACAGAGAGAGCGCCCTCCTCCCCTCGCAGCCCCGGGCCTCGGGCCAACAGCAGCGACCACGGCTCTGGCCCCCCTCCCCCCCCCCGGACTCCCCGCGGCGCCCCGTGCGTGCGTGCCGCTCTCGACGCAGAAGACGCCGTGCCCGACGAGCTCCGCGTGGTCCTCCGCTCCGCCCCCCCCAGGTCGGGCGCCCCCACAGCCCCGCCGTCGGGGGGACGACGGCGATGCCGAAGAGGACGGGCGCATCTCGCCCGCCGGGACGAAAACATGACGGGGACAACATGTGGCCGGGGTACAGAGGCGATCTCTGACACCTGGCGGTTCTGGAGAACCTATCGGGCGCCGCGGCCTTCTCGGAGCGTTCCGGAACGCTCTCAAACGATTCTTGAGCAGGGACCGACCGGCATTCATCTAGGCCTACCTCGAAGTTTTCCTAGCACCGAAAACACTACGTTGTCCTAGCGCAAAAGAACGTTCTAATAACACCAACACATGTTCTTACATAAGCCCGATGTTAGATTTTAACCAAGGGGGTCTCAACCATACATGGACGACGATCAAAAACGGGTCTTACGCGAGATGACGTAGCGACCTTACGCGGCGGCTTGCGCAAGCAAGGGCGCTTACGCGCGGCCTTGCGCGAGCAACTTGCGCACCAATGTCGGCGAAGACGTTGTGTTTTTTTTGGCGCCGCTCACACGTTCTAAGACCACTTCGTGCAAACCGCAATCAAAGGTTCTCAGAACAGTCTTTGGTGGGCCTACAGACAAGCCGTCGTCGTCCACTTGAGGTGCGAGGCTCGACGAGCGAGGGCCGAGGATCGAGGATCGCGAAACGAGGCGCGAGGATCTCGAAAAGTTGTCGAGGACCGAGGATCGGAAGCCGTCGAGGAATTTGTGCGGTCGTCGTCGCCGTCGCCGCTGGAAGATCCGCCCGCATCCCGGCCTTGGCCCGTCGGCGGCCGGCTGGAGGCCCGCCGAGAGGCCACGGGCCACGGAGGTCGGGGCCGCTGGACGCCGCCGCGAGGGCGGCGTGTCGAGCAGGGGATCGACCACAGAACGGATTGGCCCCAGGAAAGGTCCCACGGAGAATCTTCAACAGAGTGACGCCGAGTTGTCGTAAATCTGCGAATTTCTACGCACGTTCCACGGATTCGACGTGAACACTCAATTCTGGAGCAAGTCGATTCTGTCGTCAATCCCCTACTCGAGCGTGGGACCGGGCCGGCGCGGCGCCCGCTGCCGCCCCCTCCCCCGCCCCGTCCCGACAAAATCCTGGGGCAGCATTCGGCGGCGAGCTTCGCGGTTCGGGGTTCAAACATCGAGGGGGGTGGGGGAATTTCGAGGTTCGAACTGCCAGGTTCGAGGTTCGCAGCGATGTTTCATCGTTTTGGCCTCATAGAAGCCGTTTTCGGGCCCTGGGGCCTCCGAAACGCGAGAAGGCCTTCTCCGAAGGCGGCGGGGCTTCTGAGACGCCCTGGCGCCTCCTGAGAAGCGTACTGCGTCTTCGGGGGATGCTCAGGGCAGCGCGCAGAAGGCTTCTGGGCCTTCTGGGCCTTCTGAGAAGGCCCGCCCCTTCTCACCTCCCCCGCGGGCTCGCCGCCGAAACGAAGAAGGACGGGCTCAGGGTGGAACACGTCAAGCTGGAATCGGCGATGCACCGCCGATGGATCGGCGATGGGCTCCGATGGCCAACCCCAACGCTCCTGGGCGGCGCGGGCCCTCCGGCCCCGATCGGCGGCTGGGCGTCGACGCACGTCCCCCCCTGCGCGTGGTGGGGAGACCAACATGTACCCATACCGCTACAATATGGGGCTCGACCACAAGAAACCTTCCACAAGAAACCCAACCGTGAGACCCCAGGACGTCCGTTGACCTTTGGTGTGGGAACGTCCCGCTGCCCACAGCAAAACCATCGAAACCAACCCAAGAAAGCAAGGGCGCCCTTGAGGCAAGCAAGGTGTTTCTTGGCATGGGTCTCCACTGTACCACTACTCCCAGGATCTCTCCCGGGGTGCGTAGTGACAAAGATTTCGAGGCGAACCCAGCGGTGGCGACCAGAGCCTCCCAGGAAGCCTCCAAATTGGAAAGCGGACAAAGGGTAGTGGTAACCCTATGCCCCTGAGATTGGCAGGGTAGGGCTAATAAAGTTCGGGGTCCAAGGATAGTAAACTTTTTTTTCTGGCAGGTCACAGCATTAGGACGTTGATGATGATGAGGATATTGATGATGATGCTGCTGATGATGACGATGGTGATGATCAGAAGTAACACTACGACGATGATGAGGAGGATGATGAGGGAGGGGGGAAGGTGTGGGAGGAGCAGATAGTCGTAGCAGGTGTAGTCGTAGAAGTAGACGTAGTAGTAGTAGTAGTAGTAGTAGTAGTAGTAGTAGTAGTAGTAGTAGTAGTAGTAGTATAGTAGTAGTAGTAGTCGTCGTAGTAGTAGTAGTAGTAGTAGTAGTAGTAGTCGTAATAGTAGTAGTAGTAGTAGTAGTAGTAGTAGTGGTAGTGGTAGTGGTAGTGGTAGTGGTAGTAGTAGTAGTAGTAGCAGTAGTAGTAGTAGTAGTAGTAGTAGTAGTAGTAGTAGTAGTAGTAGTGGTAGTAGTGGTAATCAGTGGTAGTAGTAGTAGTAGTAGTAGAAATAGTAGTCGTAGTAGTA